ATGTGTGCCCAAGACTGCACCGAGAAAAAGCAGAAACAGCAGCATCGACGGATGCATCGCCAGCCATCCAGGAGAAATGCCGCATTGCGAGCATACAGGGCGACCACACACGCATGACGCCATCATCCCCCATCGTGTCCGCAAATCTCCTGCTCCCGCCTCTTCGCCCCATGCTCTCCCTCCTGCGTGTAGAATTGGTGGCCCCTGCGCCACACTCGTTCGTCAGCTGCATCGACTTCGAAACTCAGGGCCAGGTGGGACCGCTGTATCGGATAACACGCAGGTGCACGATGGAGGTAGAGCGAGAGACCTTCTGACATGTGCACCAGTACCACTCAGATTAAAGGCTACCGCGAGTAGTTGCCTCATGAGTGCGAAGGCGTCTGGCGGAAGGCCTTTCCATTCGGGTGTATGCCGCTGCCCGAATATGGCAGATGTTTTCTTCGACCGACGATTCCTGCATGTGGGACCCCTTCTGCCGGCGGGAGCTGCTTGAACTGTGCTTGCGCCCCCAAGACCAGTCGACAGGCTATGGTGATTCGGCCAGCGAGAGGACCAGAGAGCGGCTCCCATGTCCTCCTCTTCCGCCTTGCTTCGAGGAGGAGGAGGAGGAGGAGGAGGAGGAGGAGGAGGGCCAATCGAAAGGTAACGGCGGCCCTCCCGTCTGGTCAGGATCCGCTCGAAGCCGGTCCTGGGACGTTGGCCCGCTTGTCTTGGGCGCGAATTAAATGGGTGGCGCTGGATGGGGTGGGGAGAAGGGTGCCCGGAAGGCCTAGAGGGCCCCGTTGGGGGCCACAGAGGGCACCTGTTCTGCAGCCCTCGCTGCCACCCCCCTTAGTTATTGTCCCCCCCATTAGTTCGCGCCCAAGTTCCGGTGCGGACCCAGCCTTGGCGACTGGAAGCCTCCGGGAGGCCCCCAACAAGGACGAAGAGCGCCAGGGAGGGCCGCCGTAGTCTCGACTGGCCCTCCCCCTAGAGGAGTCGGACCGAGGTGTACGATCGAGGTCGGTTCGGGGAGGGTGCCCTGGTGTTTTTCGTGTTTGTTGGATGTGCTTGTGCACCCTGGGGAAGGTACCCTTGGATGTTCTGTGTGCTTTGGCAGGCGGAGGGTATCGTGTTCTTGAAGGGTGTCTTTCAGTCCTAGGTCCGATTGTAGAGGAGTGGAGACGAGGAGGGGAAGGGCAGCTAGGGAGGATCACGGCTGGTGCCCGTACTTCGCCGCCAAGCGCCTCCTCCAGGCACCACGCCTGCCAGGGTTTTTTCTGCGGGCGCCCTCCATCTGCCTCCATGGGGGGGGGGGGGGGCAGAATTAGGCGGGAGCAGGGAGGAGGAGGAGGAGGAGGAGGAGGAGGAGGAGGAGGGGGAGGAGGAGGAGGAGGAGGGGGAGGAGGAGGAGGGCCAATTGAGACACAGGCGGCCCTCTCTGGCGTTGTTCGTCCTTGTTGGGCCTCCTGGAAGCTTCTCGTCACCACGGCTGGACCTCGGATCTGAGGACCGATTTTGAGCGGATTCCAGCCGGGCGGGCTGGAAAGCCCCCGTGTCTCCATTGGCCCTCCTCTTCAGAGGAAGCTTGACCAACACGTCAGAGTAGATTGGTTGCAGATCTTTGTCGCATGGGGGTCTCTCCCCCATGCCCTCTGGGTTCGGCTCGTTGGTTCGCGCTGCTCTTGGTTACGTTACTGGGGACTGGTATTCGGAGCCTCGTTCGGGGGACCATGCGGGGACATCCACTCCTGCATCCTCATGTTCCTCCCCTGCTCTGGTTCCGCCCCCATGCCCCCTGCTGCTCTTCCTCTTCTTCCTTCCCCGTTTCTTCTTCTTCACTATTCTCAGTGTCATTGCCATCATCAGCAGCATCATAGTCGTCGTCGTTGTCGTCGTTGTTGTCGTCGTCAACATCACCGCTACCATCTGTCATCATCCCTCTCCCCCTTCCCAGGCCGCCACACCGTACCAGCTCCTTGTCTCCTCTTAGGGTGTATTGCGTTCTCTTGGGGTATATTTCCGTTGAACTTTAAAGCCCGATCAAGCATCACTTACTCTCCGTACGTTGCAGGGGGGCTCGAGTACTGCTAGGTGTGAAGAAGCCCCTCCCGCGCTCTCGACCTCGCGGGGAGGAGTTAGAGTTGGAGTTGGAGTCCCTGGAGGAAGACCTACAACCGCTTTCTTAGACTGGTTAAGGGCTTTCAAGACCGCGAGCCATTGTTCCAGAGAGATACGTATACATATGCTTGACGGGACGGAGTGGGGCGGCCTGAGCATGCTGCTCCTAACCCGAGCAATTGTTGATCCCCGAACACCCCACAGGAAGCAACAAATCACCCAACCAGGTCTTGGTGCCATCTCATGAGTCGTAGGAGGAGGAGGAGGAGGAGGTGGAGGAGGAGGAGGAGGATGAGGAGAAGGAGGTATAGGGGAAGGAGGGGGGGAGGGAGGGAGAAACAGAGGATGGAGGGGGAAAAACGAGTAGGAGGAGGATGTGGGACGAGGAAGTGGTGGAGGAGGAGGAGGAGGAGCAGGAGCAGAGTGGGGAGGGGGGGAGAGATCGTACCGAACAAGCGGATGAGGGCGGGATGAGAAGCGGCATCAGCAGGAGCACAAGGAAGCCAGGGAGCAGCAGTAGGAACATGAGGAGGGTGGTGCGGGGCTGGGAGGTAAAAGACGAAGACGACGTGGACAACGAAGACAAGGAAACGGAAGCGCAATCACATGATCAGCACCATCAATCGAGCCGCCAATGAAGGTAAACCTCCACTTCTTATGCTCAAGAATAGTCCAGACGACTCGCGACTCTAGTACTTCCCACTGTGCTGAAACTCGCTTATCAACAGTAATACCATTTTCCACTCTTCTGCGCTCTGGACTTCTTTTCGGACGAGGGAATAGCGCTATGCTGTTGATCAGTTGAGCTTTTAGTGCAGCTGGGATTATATTGAATTGGTATAGCGCACTAGCACCGGCGTAACGTACCGTGTCTTAGCCCATTGCATCATCGTGTATTATGTACCATGTTGGAATGGGCTTCCTGAATTTCAGAGGCCTCAAGCCTGTGCCGCCGATCCGAGACGTTCCGGTACGCTCCGCGTGAACGCACCGTCCTGTTCCCCGATGAGGCCGGAGGGAGGATGATGAGGGATGAGGAGGGATGAGAGGAGGAGAGAGGAGGAGGAGGAGGATGAGGATGAGGAGGAGAAAGAAGAGGAAGAGGAGGGGGAAAAGGAGGAGGAGGAGGAGGCGAAGAGGAGTGTTGGCAGTCGCCTTAGGTAGCATGATGTGTTGCATGTAATGTTTGCGCCGTGACCGTCTTTCGAGCTTGATGGCAGGCTAGTTCCCTGACGGATTGGCTCGTTGGTTGGTCGTTGGGCTTGGGGGCCCCAGCCCCGGCCCACGGCAGGCCCCATCGACCCCCGGTCCCGGCCCTGGCCCCAGCCCCAGCCCGGCCTCGCCCCTCCCCCCCATTCCAGAGCGAAACCAGGGTCCGCCCCTTCCCGCAACCGGAACACGCCCCCCTCTGAAGAGCGAAATCAGGAGACCATCCCCCCCCCCCCGAAACCGGGACACGCCCCCCCCACCCCGTCCAAAGCGAAGTCTAAGCGAGCTCGAGCTCAACTTTGTTTGACTCACGCGCTGGATCGGCTGTTTGCATGTAATTCCACGCAAACGTTAAACACAGCAGGAGTCAAAAAGCGTTCTCTGTTCCAGCGTCGTCGGAGGAGCTCTGCGTGGGGTGATGGCGTTGGTCGGGGACTGGTTATGGAGCCCATCGTCAGGTTCACGCGGGCTGCCCGGTTCACGGAGGAAGCTGCTGGGGCCATCTGCACCGATCTCATGGCGATTCACGCGCAGCACGCGAGAGCCACATGTATTTAGCGATCGATGTTTCGTGCCAGCGGCGCGCAGGTCTCTTCTGAAACTCTTGCACTTCGGATGGCTCTCGCAGGAAACCTCGGGTCTTGCCGTCCCTGGGCGTTTGTTTCGGCGCCCACCTTCGCTCCCGAGTGCTCAGCTATGCCGGGCCGCCACCGACCGAGGCCGCCGACGTTGTGGTCCTGAATTATCAGTACGTGTTGGACCCCAAGGTGTCGCTGGCGTCTCAGCTAGGCGCCCGCGCGAGCGAGATGCGCGTGCGGTGCACTCCTGCTGGGGCGGGGGCCCACGGGAAGAGCCCCGACGGGTCAGGCCGGGGGACGGGAGCAATGGGGTTCGTCGCGTGCAGCTGCTCTGGCACCCGTGCTTGGCACTCCGCACTCGCGCTGGCGGTCCGAGGGGGACCCCAAGGCAATCTGGGAGCTGCTGGTTGTCAGCCGATCGTTTGGCTCACGCTCAGACGGAGGACTGACGCAATCGATCCCTCGACGTCGGCCGTTGGAGGGCACTCCTTCCCTCGACTCGGCGCCTGTCTGAGGTGCTCCTTCTGATCCTCTTCGATCCTCCCCCTCCCCCTTCTCATCCTCTTCCCCATCACACTCTCCCGCTGTCGGAGGGTACGTACTCCTTCCCTCGACTCAGCGTCTGCGTGTGGTGCTCCTCATCTTCCTGAATCATGACCCTCTCCCCCTTCTCGTCCTCTGCCCGTCACACTCTTCCTCCTCCCTGCTCCGCCCCTGGTCTCCGCACGAGAGGCTCGTGTTCTGGGGGCATGCAGAGCTCTCGGCGCCGTTGGCCAGAGTCCTGGAGCCCGCTCGTGTTCTCGGAACCAGTCTCGCCTCTCGTGGGCTTGCGGAGGGTGGGGCTGGCGAGGTGCGGCTGCTGCTTTTAGCGTTGAAGAAAGCTCAAAAGGAGCAGAGAACGGAGACCATTGACAAGATCGCAAGGAGAGCACGCAGCAAGAGATCTGCAATCGCAATGAGACGGAGACTTGGCATATTGGCGTATGCGAGCGACGGGTAATTAGGCGAACTAGAGAGTGCACGACAGGGGAGTGGAGAGTGAAGTGTACAGCCCTGGATCACCATGCCTGATCTTTCTGGCCCACGGGGAACGGACGCCTGCATGCCCGAAGGTGGCGCGCCCACGCTGCCGGGGGGCAGGGCGAACATGCGACACGGCCACGGATCAGCTGGGGAAGCAGAGCCCAGCATTCTGGTCTTCGACGAGGCTCACAACATCGACGATGTTTGCATCGAGGAGCGAGGGGGGGGTCTTAGGGAGCTGGGGACATGCATGCACGTGACAACAGAGAGCGAGGCCAGCACAGAGAGCGAGGCCAGCACGCAGCATTGCATGACCGCGCGGCGCAAGGCCTGCGATTTCGTTTGGCCTCGGCGCGAGCGCCGTCATTTGAATCATACTGCTCGGCGTCATTCTCTTTTGATTCCGTCATCCTTTGGACAGGGCGCCGCTCGGGGCGAAATTCACAAGGGGTCCAGCGGGCTTGAAAATTCCGTCCTAACCTCGCTGGGGACCTCGTGGGCGCCTCTCGAGACCTCCGAGGACCGTGTGCGGAGAGGAAAGAGATTCGAGCTGTGTCTGCCCAGGGAATTTTCAGCACACATAGCTTACAAAGAAACAGTTCACATACATGTTTTCAGGGCAGCCAGCACTGCGCCAACACAGAGACGGAGCTCTATCCGAGATCCTCCCCATCCTCATTATCGGCGTCCGCGTCGGTCCCCTCCTCATCCTCCGCACACTCCATCCGCTCTACTCAGCCTTCTAACCCTCCGTCCTTCACAATGACTATACATATGCATGTGTGCATATGTATGTGTGCGTACGTCGGGTCGGTGTACAAGACTTCCTTGGCGCTTCGCGCCATGCACCTTGGTCCTTGAAGATTGGCATGTAGGCGGGAGTGGCGGCGGAAGGGCAGGAAGGTGAGGCAGAACACACACAGACACACAGACACACACACACACACATACACACCGATAATTCCTCGTTGCCTTGTCCGACATCTTCGTCGCAATGATGCCATTCGCCATTCTTCCCATCACATTCCTCTTCCTCTTGCTCGTTCTCTCCCTCCCCCGCGAATTCTTCCCCATGTTCCTCTGCTCTTTTTGTGGAGGCTCCTCCTTGGAGAGCTTGCTGGGGACCTCACAAAAGTGTTACGGGGCTTCTTGGGGCCTTCTGGAGGCCTCCTAGGCGCCTTCTCGGGGCCTCTTGGGGCTTCCTCGGGACACCCTGCGTCCGGCATTTCCCGCGAGTGCTCCATTGTGCTCTGTCGGGTGTGCCTGCTCTGCCTGGCGTGCGTCGGCGCACGTATTGAAGAACATGGGGCGGGACGTTGGCTGGTGGTGAGGGGCAGGGCGTCCGCGGCCTGCGCATGCGCACGCGCAAAGGTATCCTCTATGCACCCTGCTGGCTGTAGGAGCGACGCGTGCTACAAAGCCATCGACAGTGGTTCTTAGGCTGCCGCGGCCTCTCATGTACTGCAGCTCGAATTCAGACAGCCATTGCTGCTGCTGCTGACCTCCAGGACGCACCTTTGCCAGCTGAGGACAGGCTCCGACAGCTCGGCATTCAGTCAGCTCGGCGTGGTGGGGGCGCCAAAGGACTGGCACCCGGGGCCGTGGTCGTCAGCGTCTGGGGCGAGGGGGGCTGGGACCCCAACGTTCCTTCATCTCCCAGCTCATGCAATCAGACGTCTCCGATTGACTCGCCGATCGACTCCACGAGCCGATCTTTCAGAGGTTTAAGACATGGCTCCCTGCCGAGCCCCTGTGTCTGGCCGCTGCGCAGGACAGGTGGCTCGCACCTCCCAGCCGTGCAAAGTGTGGTCTCACCTGAATAGCCTCGCGGGAGGGTGGGTCACCAGCCACAGGGTGAATATCTTCATGCCGCTGACACGCAGGTTTGGCTGCCCTGGCCACCCCGACTCGTTCCTCCACTACCTTTCCTGCCCCCGCCTGCTTCACCTCGTTGCCCTGCCCCGCACGCGCATCCCCGCTGCCCCCGCCCTTCCTGATGCTCGGCTTGGGGACGGAGGAGGGGTATGGGGGCACTGATCGCACGATCGTCGTTGCCCACGACTTGGCCTGTTCAGCGCACTTCCCATAAGATACGCGTGGGGCTTGCCGTAACCTCATCGAAGCGTGGCAGCTACGTTCGCCACGTGCTGGTCTCGCTCGTCGACCACCCGAAGGCATCCCCGTGGAACGTGCCTTCTTCCAGGTTTTCCTTGCATGAATACGTAAGTCCTCCCTGTCGCACGCCACGCCGAGAAGTGTCGGTAGGGCGGGCCGGGCGGTTCGCCCGAGATTTCCTCATTATTTCATCGCTTCTCTCATCCCGCCGGCCCGTATTTTGCCACCGCTGGCGCTTGCCAGCTCGTTCGTGGCCCATGTGGCGCTGCTTGGCGGTGGTCTTCTTCCTGGAGGCGTAGCGACAGCAGGCATGGATGTGAAGTTGTTGCGTTGGAGCGTGTCGGGGTTTCTGGCCTCTACTGCTCACCGACATGGCTATGGTGTGGGTCAGAGTCCTCAGGGATGCTTTTTAGGGTCTCTGTGGAGCACTCTCGGGGGCTTCTGGAAGGCAGTTCTGGGGACTCTGTGGGAGCGTCTTGGGAGCCTCTTGGAAGCATCTGTAGTCTCTTGGGGCTTCCTGGGGGCCTTTTGGTGGCCTCGGGGCGTCTCCGGTGCCTTTTGGGGGGCTCCTTGGAGCCTCCTGGGGGTTTTCTTGGGGCCGAGGGCTCGAAATGTCCGTTTGGGTACCCCGTCTGGGTTTCTTCTTTGAGCCGTCATCGGGGCCTCTTGGGCCGTTTTTGGAGGCCTCTTGAGCCGTCTTGGGCTCTCTTGGGCCGTCTTGGAGCCCGCACAGGGGGCCTCTTGGGCTATCTTGGGACGATCTTGGAGGCCTCTTAGACCGTCTTTGAGCGTCGCGATGTCGGTAGGGCGGCCGGGCGATTCGCCCGAGACTTCCTCATGATGTATGACCCTTGAATTTGGCATGCGCAACTGTTTCACTGATGGAAGGCGGGCCGCTTTCAAAATGAGGCTCTCGCTTTTGCGAAACGCGCGCGCTCGGTTTGAACAGTTGCCTGGGTTTCACGAATCGAGGGCGGGCCGTTTGCAAGATGAGGCTCTGGCTTTACCGCCCGGCGGATGCGTTTCAGAAATGGCAAGATCTTTTTTTTAGTGGAGGGCGGGTTGTTTTAAAGATGTGGTTCTCGCCATAGCGCCCCGCGCATTCGTCATACAAGACGACTCGTAACAGCTTCAGGGGTGGAAGGTGAGCCGCTTTCAGCATCAGGATCTCGCCTTCGCGAAGCGAGCATTCGTTTGGAGTCGTTGCCCGATGTTCTCAGAATGCGGTTTTCGCTTCAGCGCCGCGCGCACTTTTCTTCCAAAAGTGTAAAAGCTTCGCGGTTGGAGGGCGGCGCTTTTTCATAATGTGGTTGTCGCCATAGCGCCGCGCGCATTTTTTGAACATTTGCAAGAGTTCCACAGATTGGGGGCGACTCTTGATAAAAATGCGATTGTCGCATTAGCGACGCGTACAATCTTTTGAAAGGTTGCAGCAGTTTCTAGGCTCTCAGGTTTAACGTCTCAGAAATGGCGTTTCGGAACTATGCGAGATTGTCATGCCGCAGTAGTCACGCTGATTCGTGGTGTCGACGTCACAGACTTTGTGTTCAGGTACGATTCAGGATCGTAAAAGAACAATGGTACAGTTGATTCGTGGCGTGTGAAAGTCCCAAGAGTTCTGTTCTGGCACGTTTCAGGAGTTTCAAGCGGCTGTTTTCAAACGGGGCATTTCCCTAAGTAAAATGGGGTTTGGAAGGAGGGTTTTGCAACATCGTTGATGCGTCTTGAGTTTACATTGGTCCTCTTCCTCCTTCTTCTCCATCTCTCTCTCCTTCGTCTCCTCCTCCCCCACCTCCTCTTTTTTATAGTCGGCAGCAGAGCAGCAAGGAGCGGGGCAGGCCCTGAGCGTCCGGCTCAACCGGACGAGGCTGGACCAGTCCTCCGGCAATCTGACGCGGCTGAGCAACGAGGTCGAGCGAGTGAAACGGGAGGACGCCAGCAGGTTGCAGGACGAGTACAGGCGCGGCTCTCTCATACGTTCCTCCTCCTCCTCTTCCTCCTCCTCCCCTCCTCATCCTGCAGTCGTTTTCAAAACGTGGCTCTCGCCTCAGCGCCGCGAGCATTCGTCTTAAAGGTTTGCAGGAGCTTCACGGATGGAGGGCGGATCGTTTTCAAAATGTGTTTCTCGCTTTGGCGCCGCGCACACCCGTCTCAAGAATTTGCAGCAGTTCCGAGGATTGTCATGGTTAACGCCCCTCAGAATGATGTTTTTGGGCGGTGTAGGATTATTACGGCGCAAAAGTAATGTTGATTCACGGTGTTGAGGTCACGGGAATGGTGTTCTGGCACGGTTCAGGATCGACAAGACGCAACAGGAACGGTGATTCCCGGCGTTGAAGTTCCAGAAATGGTGTTCTGGCAGAGTTTCGGATTTTCAAACGGTTGTCTTCCAACGGGGCATTTCCCCACGTACAAATGAGTTTTGTATGGGGCCTATGGAGAGGGAATTTCGAGGGGGGGGGTATTGCACTTCCGTTGAAGCGTCTTGGGGTTTAAGCTGGTCCTCGTCTTCCTCCTCGTTCCTTTCCTTCCCCCCCCCCTCCTCCTGAAGGTTACGTTCGCTCCTCCTCCCTCGACGGGGAGGGCGAGGAGGAGGAGGAGGAGGAGAAGCCTTGGCAGTGCCGAGTCCGATGCAGTCTTACGACCGAAGCCGCTTCGGTGCAGATCGGGAAGCCTGAGGCGTGCATGGTGAGACCAACGACTCGTGATTCTCGGCAGGAGGAGGTGTGAGGGAGGAGAAGGAAAAGGAGGAGAAGGGGCTTAGAACCCCCAGAGGGCTGAGGCGGCCAACGGTGTCCACCAGCCTCGATCCTCGATCCATCTTCCTCGCCCCGCCCCCTTGCCCCCGTCGTTGACATTTGGTTGTCGGGTCTTTCGGCAGCATTCCCGCGGCCGTTCGAGACGATCCAGGCACCCCGGGAAAGCTTTCGGCGTGGCGCAGCTGCTTGAAAGGCACCCCTGAGCTGGAAAAGAGCCAGGAATCGACGAAACCCCGAAACTTCGCCTCCCCCAGCCTTCGATCCTCCCCCGCAAACCTCGAACCCCGAAACTTCGCCTCCCCCAGCCTTCGATCCTCGATCCTCCTCGATTCTCGATCCCTCGGTCTGGCCAGGCGGCTGGTGCAGGGCCTGCAGCAGGCGGGCCAGATCGACGCGGGGATCGCCGAGAGGCTGCAGAGCCCGCAGTTGCCCGAGGACGGCAGCTGCGAGCGCCACCGCCCGGGAGCCAGGTCCGAGCATCGAGGATCTCGACTGCACGCAAGAGTGACCCTTCGCCCGAGTGGCTTTTGGTGCGGGCTCACTGGGGTCCCCCGATCGCTGAACGCGACGCGATGGCAGCGGCCTGCGCGCTTGGGTTTGGCCCCCTCGCGCCCCCCAAAGGCCGCGCACCAAAGGTCGCTCTTGTCTAGGGTCACTCTTGCGTGCAGCCGAGGATCGCGGTTCGGCATCGAGCTCCGAGGTTTTCGGATCGCTGGCGATGCGATTTGTTCGATGCGGGCGTGCGTCCTTGGCTTCGGCCCTCGGGGCCCGCTGTGCGGCCCGGGGACCCTCCACGATGGGTCCGGGATGAGAAACCACGCGCGGGGAAGGGATCCAGACTCCTGGTGCTGCGGATTGGACGCGACGCATCGGCGGCTGTCTGGGTCCAGCATGTGGACCGAGGTCCGGCGTCGAGGACAGAGGTCCGAGCATCGAGGACCGAGGGTCGGAGCCCGAGCATCGAGGCTCGAGGCTCTGGACATTCCTTCTGGTGTCCAGGGGCTCCACGCGGGGGCCTTCTTGAGCCTCCGGGGGGCAGGCCTCCGGGCACGTTGGAGACCTCCGGGCTCCAGAGGCTGTCCTGGATGCCCGCGCCACCGGGCCGCCGGTCGAGCCGTCGTGCTCCGCGCGTCATGCGCTGCGAGCCGCAGGGCCGGCTGGCACTGCGGGCTATCTGCAGCTCGCGCATGCCACGGTCGTGCGTCGGGTTCCGAGCACCTCCGCTTCGTCCTCCTCCTGGATTATTGGAATCCCGACTCCTAGCGGAAGGCGAGGAGGTGAGAGCGCAGTGAAAGGGAGAGACGGAGAGCCCCCAACCAGGAGATCGGTTTCGGTTTCGTGCTCGTCTCGTGCGTGCGGGTGAGGCAATGCTGCGTGGGCGGGCAAGAGACATGAACCCTCTTCTGGCCAGGGCGCCGCCAGGCCAAAAGACCGCCCCCCGCCGTTGTCCGGCGGTGGCCGGGAGTGTCCCGCCGTGGTGTCCCGATGGTGTCCCGTGGTGTGCTGTGGTGTCCGTCGGTGTCCCGTCGGAGTCCCGTAGTAAGATCGATAGTGAGATCGATGGTGAGATCGATCGTGATGTCCTGTCGGTGTCCCGTCAGTGTTCCGCCGTGACATCAATAGTGAGATCGGTACGGAGATTGATAGTGGGACCGCTAGTGAGATCGATAGCGAGATCGCTCGTGAGATTGATAACGTGAAACATTGGATCCTTCCCCCTGGACCTCCTTCTCATCCGATGGGTGGTCTCATAGGTACTGCTCCTCCTCATCATCCACTTACGCCCCATCATTGGTTCCTGCTTCCCCCATCATGTTGGTCGTTCCTCCTGCTGTCCCTCGTCCTCTTCCTCCTTCTGCTGTTCAGCTATCAGCCGCCCCCGTCTGAGACTGCAGCGGCACGGCACTGGCAGATGCTGGGGGGACGCTAAAGGCAGGAGGCAGTCACGACGGGGGGCAGGACCTCGTGAACGAGGCTATCCCTGGGAACATCCGGCGCGCGGAGCATTTCCTGGCCCTGCTGCGGCGCATAGTAAACTTCTTGAAGAGGTACATCCACGTCGACCGTGCGCAGTGCGAGGGGCCGCTGTCCATCATCCAGAAGCTAGAGGACGACACGGAAGTGGATTCGAAGTCCCTCAAGTTCTGCCACGAGCGGTTGCGGTCCTTGCTAAACACGCTGCGCACGGCGAATCTGGACGAGCTCACCCCGATCGTCAAGGTTGCGGACTTTGTCACCATGCTGGGCACGTACGCCCAGGGTTTCACTGTGATCGTGGACCCCTACCCGGAGGCGGAAGGCATCTACGATCCCATGTTGCTGCTCAGTTGCCTGGATGCGTCGTTGGCGATGCGACCTCTGCTCAAGAGATATCAGTCAATAGTGCTTACGTCGGGCACAATATCGCCGCTTGAGATGTACCCGAAGATCCTCGGCATGACGAATGTGGTTGCAACAGAGTCCTTCTCCATCCAGATGGAGCGCAAGAGTCTTTGCCCACTCATCGTGACCCACGGGCCCGACCAGGTTCCGGTTACGTCGCGATTCTCGCTGCGCGAAGACCCTGCGGTCGTCCACAACTACGGGGTATTCCTGGAGCAGTTGGTCCAGACAATCCCCGACGGCATGGTGTGCTTCTTCACGTCTTACAGGTATATGGAGCAGGTGATCGAGAAGTGGTACGAGACGGGAGTGATCTCGCGGGTCCTGCAGCACAAGCTGGTCTTCATCGAGACCAAGGACGTCGTCGCGACGACCTATGCGCTCAGCCTCTACCGCCAGGCGTGCGACTCTGGCCAGGGCGCCGTGTTCCTGAGCGTGGCACGCGGCAAGGTCTCCGAGGGGATCGACTTCGACCGCCATTACGGCCGCTGTGTCGTGCTCTTCGGGGTGCCGTTCCAGTACACCCTGTCTCGAGAGCTACGCGCTCGACTAGAGTTCCTGCGCGAGCACTACCAGATTAAAGAGGCCGAGTTCCTGAACTTCGACGCCATGCGCCAGGCGTCGCAATGCCTGGGCAGGGTCATCCGGTCCAAGAAGGACTACGGCGTCATGATCTTCGCCGACCAGCGGTACGCCCGACAGGACAAGCGGTCCAAGATCCCAGATTGGATCCGGACCTTTATAGAGCCCGGCCATTTCGTCATGGCAACTGACATGGCTGTGAACGCAGCAAGGATCTACGAAGAAAGAGCTGCATCAACACAACCTTTCTTGCATCGGCGCCAGGCCCCCTTCCCTGGCGATCGGAGCGTGCCAGGGGCGGCGCCAGAGGCGCCGCCGGGAGGCTCAGCACCGATCCCAGAACGGAGCCCCGCATGTTTCTGTTATGTTTTTATCGTTTTCATTCGTTGAAGTATGGCCAGCGCAGCCCATACCCCAAGCTTCCAGACCTGGTGATCCAGGGAGTCCTTGCTGGGGGTGAGGGTGGTTTTGTGGAGGTCTCGGGGGCCAAGAAAGCGCCCTCAGCCTCAGCCATGAGCCCCTGGATCACCAGGTCGGGAGGCTTGGGTCCGGGCGGGGGCTGGGGGGTGGCATGTGCTTCTCCCACTTCAAGGAGCTTCCTGCTCCAGATGTCGCAGCCGTACGTCGAGATCACCGGCGCCGGCGCCTCCGTGCTCACCCTCGAGGCCCTGCAGGACCTGCAGGCGCGCGAGGCGGAGGCGGCCCTGAGCGCGAGGGCGCCTTGCGCCGACTCTGGCGGCGGGCCGGCCGCCGCGGAGGCACCGGGCGCGAAGCGCCCTCGGCAGGAGTAGGGCCAGCCTGCTCCCTCGGGACCCCCTCGCGCCGCGTGGAAAGCACGACAGGACTTTTGAGGTACATGATTTTGTGTATGTGCACTTTCCCCAAGCAGTGCTTGCAACACGAGTTCGGGGCTCTGACTTCGGTGAACCAACCATCTCGGGACCCTCGCCGCAGAGTCGCCGCCGTGCCGCCCGTCGCCGCCCGTCACCGTCGCCGCCCGTCGCCGCCATCCCCGCCCGTCGCCACCCGTGCCGCCCGTCGCCGCCCGTCGCCGTCGCCGCATCGCTTACATGGCCCTGCATAGACTGCATTACATAGGTTGCATCGCATACATTCTCCTTTCTTACAAGGAGATAGGTTCTACCACCCTCCCCCCCCGGGGTTAAATATTGATTTGTTCGTATTGCTACGTACAGATGATTATGACCGAATGTCCACCTTGTCTTTGAATTCATACTATCCCAGCCTGGCCGGTATCGCCCCCCGCCACCCTCTGCAACAAAAACTATGCGCGCGCACTCGTTTCTCAAAAATCATCCGTTTTCGAAAACCCCTGGCGAAAAATGAAACGAAGTGCACACTCGCGCGAAGTCGCGCGCGCATGCCGAAATCCTTCAAACACATTCGTTTTCGGAAGGATGTCAAACTCGATCGTCCAACAAACGTATACAGACATAAGGCTTCGCAACACGGATGTTCAACAAAAAAAACATGCGCGAGCATTTGCGACTTCTAGAAAAACATAGGTTTTCAAGATTTCCAGATAACACTACCAAGCGAGTTGCGCGCGCGCATTTCGAGATCGTTCGAACGCCGTTGCGCGCGTGGTGGAGTGGCACGATCCGTGCCAAAACATATCATGCGAGCCACTCTCGCGCGTCCGCCGCGCGCGCATTTTGAATTCTTTCCGGAACCTTCATTACCAACGCGAAGACGCCGTCATCGTCGCCGGCGTGATCGGCATCGGCGCCGTTACTGGTCGTGCCGTCGTCATTGTCAGCATCGTTTCCAACATCGCTACTATCATCACCATCGTGTTTACAATTGTCGACGTTGCCATGATACCGCGCCCGCCCAAGTCGCCGACTCGCACTTAAGTGTCCGCTGGGATGTGCCGAGCGGTCAGCACCACCGCGGCCGCGTCGGTCGCGCCAAAACTACTTGGCCGCATCGCTTACATGGCCCTGCATAGACTGCATTACATAGGTTGCATCGCATACATTCTCCTTTCTTACAAGGAGATAGGTTCTACCACCCTCCCCCCCGGGGTTAAATATTGATTTGTTCGTATTGCTACGTACAGATGATTATGACCGAATGCCCACCCTGTCTTTGAATTCATACTATCCCAGCCTGGCCGGTATCGCCCCCCGCCACCCTCTGCAACAAAAACTATGCGCGCGCACTCGTTTATCAAAAATCATCCGTTTTCGAAAACCCCTGGCGAAAAATGAAACGAAGTTCATACTCGCGCGAAGTCGCGCGCGCATGCCGAAATCCTTCAAACACATTCGTTTTCGGAAGGATGTCGAACTCGATCGTCCAACAAACGTATACAGACATAAGGCTTCGCAACACGGATGTTCAACAAAAAAACATGCGCGAGCATTTGCGACTTCTAGAAAAACATAGGTATTCAAGACTTCCAGATAACACTACCAAGCGAGTTGCGCGCGCGCATTTCGAGATCGTTCGAACGCCGTTGCGCGCGTGGTGGAGTGGCACGATCCGTGCCAAAACATATCATGCGAGCCACTCTCGCGCGTCCGCCGCGCGCGCATTTTGAATTCTTTCCGGAACCTTCATTACCAACGCGAAGACGCCGTCATCGTCGCCGGCGTGATCGGCATCGGCGCCGTTACTGGTCGTGCCGTCGTCATTGTCAGCATCGTTTCCAACATCGCTACTATCATCACCATCGTGTCTACAATTGTCGACGTTGCCATGATACCGCGCCCGCCCAAGTCGCCGACTCGCACTTAAGTGTCCGCTGGGATGTGCCGAGCGGTCAGCACCACCGCGGCCGCGTCGGTCGCGCCAAAACTACCTGGCCGCTGCGCGCGCGAGCATGCACAGGCCAGCGCGGCCGCAGAGATGCACCAGCCAGCGCCGAACATTTTTCGCAATCGCCGCAGCATAAGGTTTGCAATCCAAGTTGCGGGTGGGTGGGTGGGATGTTTGGTCGAGCAGTGGAGTGGACGACACATTGCGAACAGAAGCGAATGTTCCTTTTATAAAAAAGGAAATCGATTCTGCCCCCCCCCCCCCCGGGTTAAATATTCATGTTTTCGCATTGCAAGTTGCAGATGTTTTTGCCCCATCGTCCATCCTACAGTCGAATTTGCACCATCCCAGGGGGGGCGGTATCGCCCCCCCCCGCCATCCTCTGCAAAAACAACTATGCGTGCGCACTCGTTTATCACGAAGCATTAGTTTTCGATAATCCCCGGCGCAAGCGAAACGAAGTGCACACGCGCTCGTCGTCGCGCGCGCATGCCAGAATCCGTCAAAACCTTCGGTTTCGGAAGGATGTCAAAATCAAGTGTCTAAAACTTGCATAAAACATAATACTTCGCAGCACGGGGTTTCAAAACAGGCACGGGCGCGCGCACTTACGCATAGTTAAGAATACCATAGTTTTTTTTCATTCAGCACTCTAAGAAAACATTACCAAACGGGCTTCGCGCGCGCGTGCCGAAATCGTTCGAACGTCTTTGCGCGCGTGCCGTTGCGAGAATCCCTTGCAACAAAAAGAAGCGAAGTGCGCACGCGCGCGTGGTCGCGCGCGCATACTGAAATCCTTCAAAAACCTTTGGTCCTGGAAGGAATTCAAACTCTACTGTCCCCAAAACATACAGAACACACGGGTTTTCAAAAAAGCGTGCGCGCGCGTTTTTGCGAGTTGCTAAGCAAACCGCCAGTGTTTTCAACATTTTTTCATACAATGCTACCACACGGGTCTCGCGCGGGCACATGTCGAAATCGTTCGAACGTTTTTGCGCGCGTGGTGGGGTGGCGCGATCCGTGTCAAACAACATCATGCGGGCCATTCTCGCGCGCTCGCCGCGCGTGCATTTCGAATTCCTTCCAAAACTTGCATCGCCAACGCGAAGACGCCATCGTCTTTTGCATGAACAGCATCGGCGCCGTCACTGGTTTCCCAGTCGTTGCTGTCAGCATCGTCACCAACATCGCTACTATCATCATCGTGTCTACCGCTGTCGACGTTGCCATGATACCGCGCCCGCCCAAGTCGCCAACTCGCAGTAAAGTGCCCGTTAGGATGTGCCGAGCGGTCTGCGCCACCGCATTCGCGTCGGTCGCGACAAAGTAGCTGGCCGTTGCGTGCGCGAGCTTGCGCAGGCCAGCGCGGCCGCAGAGATGCACCAGCCAGCACCCAGCACTCATCGCAATCGCTCCCGCATGGGTTTTGCAGACGGTGTTGCGGGTAGATGGGTGGGATGATTGCGCGAGCATTGGAGTTGACAACTTGAAGTTCGGCAAGTGAATTGCACCACACAAACTGCACCGCATAGAATGCGTGACATAGGTTGCATCGCATACAGTGCACCACATAGAGTGCACCGCATCTAGTCAAGCACACAGGTTGCATTGCATACATTGCACCACACATAGATTCTCCTACCCCCCCCCGGAGTTATCGCTACCCCTGTCGGGTATGTAAATCACATACGATTCTGACCACATGTCCATCCTAAATATGAAATCACAATGTCCCAGGCCAACCGGCATCCCCCTCTGAGGTTCCCTTTTGTAAGAAAAAACGATACGCGCGGACAGTTTTTGTTCTGACATAAGACTTGTTCGCGAATCCCTTGCAAAAAAAGGACGAAGTGCGCACGCGCGCGTCGTCGCGCGCGAATGCCGAAATCCTTCAAAAACCTGTGGTGTCGGAAGGATTTCGCAATCGAGTTTCCAAAAAAACATACGAAAACACCGGATTTCGCAACACCGATTTGCTTAACAAGTTTCCGCGCGAGCTCTTGCGAAATATTACCGGAAACCATAGGTTCTTCAAGATTTTCACAAAATGCACTCAAGCGGGCATCGCGCGCGCGCATGTCGAAGTCTGTCGAACGCCCTTGCGCGTGTGCCGTCGCGAGAATCCTTTGCAAAACATAAGACGAAGTGCAGACGCGCGCGCGTCGTCGCGCGCGTATGCCGAAAAACTTCAAAACCCATCGGTTTCGGAAGGATTTCAAAGTCGTGTGTCCAAACAACATACAAAAACACAAGGTTTCGCAACACGGATTTTCAACAAAAACATGTGCGTGCGCGCTCTTGCGTCGTCGTCGTCGTCGTCGCCGTCCTCCCTCTTCCCGCGTCGTCGCCTACGTCGTCCTCTGTCTTTCCTCGTGTTCGTCGTCGTCGTCCTCTTTGGCGTCGTGCTCGTTTTCGTCGTCGTTGTCGCCGTGGTCGTCCTTCCTCCTCGTCCCTCGTCGTCGTCGCCGTCCGTCGTCGGCGTCTCGTCGTCGTCCCTCATATTTCGTCGCCGTCGTCGTCGCCGTCGTCGTTGTCGTCGTCGTCTTCCCTCCTCCCTCGTCGTTGTCGTCGTCGGCGTCGCCGTCCTTCTTCGTCGTTCGCGTCGTCGCCGTCCTCCCTCCTCCCTCGTTGTTGTCGTCGTTGTCGTCGTTGTCGCCGTCGTCGTCCTTCCTCCTCCCTCGTCGTCGTCTTCGTTGGCGTCGTCGTCGTCTTCGTCGTAGTCGGCGTCGGCGTCGTTGTCGTCGTCGAAGTCGTCGGAGACGTCGTCGGTGTCGTCGTCGTCGTCGTCGTTGTCGTCGGTGTCGTCGTAGTCGGTCTTAAGAGGTTTGGCAAACCAAGTTGCGGGTGGGTGGGTGGGATGTTTGCAAGAGCGTGGGATGTGTCACATCGTGGGTAAAAATCAATTGCATTACATAGGTTGCATCGCATACATTGCACCACATAGGTTGCACCGCGTAGACTGGATTACATAGGTAGCATCGCGTACAGTGCACCACCCAGATTGCACCTGTATTGCATTATACAGGTGTTTCGCATTTATTGCGCCACGCAGATTGCACCGCATATGTTGCACCACGTAGGTTGCATCGCATACATTACACCACATAGGTCGCACCGCATATACTGCATTTGTCTGCTGTTTGGGGTCCACGCTGGCTAACATACATATATATTCAAGTATATATATATATGTATGTACATTTGTATAAACATATACACATAGATATAAAGACATGCGCACACCTATACATATATGTGTGTATGTACGTACGTATGTATGTATGTATGTATGCATGCATGTATGTATGTATGTATGTATGTATGTATGTATGTATGTATGTATGTATGTGTATGTGTGTGTGTGTGTGTGTGTGTGTGTGTTCGGCTCCTGGGGGGCCCGCCGGGCCCTGGGACAGGAAACCACTACTCAGGATGAAAAGCCGGTCCGTGGGAATGGGTCGAGACCTCTGGTGGTCAACGATGTGCGACAATCATGACGTCGGGGGTCTGTCTTCACCGCGTCCTCAGGAGTTCGAAGCAGAAAAAGCGGCATAACGAGCTCTGCGCGGGATTTGTCGGATCGGCGCTGGAGCCCCCTGGCGGCGCCTCCAGCGCCAGCCCTGGCGCGCGCGCTGATCCAAGAAGTCCGCGCGGAACTGCGAGAGTTTACGCGTTCGCCTTTATGCTGCTCCTCTGCTCCAGAGCCCATCCTTTCCTCACCCCATGTTCTCGAAAGAGAATCAAGCGGCGCGAGCACAAACTGTCGGAGCACCGCGCTGATTCTCCAGATTGACGCTGGACCCCTGAGGCGGCGCCTCGGGTGCCACCCCTGGCGCGCGCGCCGATCCAATAGATCCGCAAAAGCTCCGACAGTTTATGCTTATTCCGTTTGAGGTTCATCTGCTTCAGAGTCCTTGTTTTCTTCATCCCTGTTCTCGAAGGAGAGAGAGCGACATAGATACGAACTGTCGTAGCTCCACGCGGATGTCTGGAATCGGCGCTGGAGTCCCCAGGCGGCGCCTTGGGCGCCACCGCTGGCGCGGGTCCAGCGCCGATCCAGGAGATCCGCGCGGATCTCCAACAGATGATGTTCATGCTGCACGTTCTGCCTCTATCCACCGCGTCCTCCGGAATCCGTCCTTTCCTTGCCCCTGCTCCTCGCCCCTCCTCATCCCGCCTGCGCAGAGGGTGCGGGCGCTCGAGCAGCTGCACAGGCTCGTCTGCCAGGTTCCCACCCGTCGCGCCCGTGGCGCGCAGTAGATTAGGATACCGACGGGCGTTCCGCGCTGCTGGGGACCTCGCAGCGAAGGTGACGCGTGCGTCTGCCGCCCTCGGCCGCGAAGCAGAGAGGAAGTACTTCAGGATCGCCCGGAGGGGGGGCGCCAGGAGAGTCCTAGACGGCCCCAGAGCTCGCTCGGAGAGAGACCGAGACAGCATCAAGAAGGGTACCAGAGGCCCGAAGGAACGCCCGTCTGTCAGCCAGCGTGGACCCCAAACTGAGAGTTCTTTCAGGGCATGCGGCGCAATCTAGGTGGTGCAATCAATCACTTGCTCAACTTGAAGCTGTCCTCTCCACTGATCCCACCCTCCCACACGCAACTTGGTCGCAAGACCTCTTAAGACCGTGACGGTGGGTGCCACATGGCACTTGGCAACGACACCGACGCCGACGACGACAGCGACAACGACGACGACGACGCCGCCGACAACGACTACGACGACACCGACGACGTCTCCAACGACTTCGACGACGAGGACAACGACGACGACGACAACGACAACACCGACGACGACGACAACGTCGACGACGAAGATGACGCCGCTGACGACGACAACGACGCCGACGACGACGACGCCGCCGACGACGACGACGCCGACGCCGACGACGCCGACGACGACGACGAAGACCACGACGACGACGACGCTGACGACGACGACGTCGCCAACGAAGATGACGACGACGACGACGACAAGGGAGGAGGGAGGACGACGACGGCGACGACGACAACGACGAGCGGGGAGGGAAGATGACGACGACGACGACGACGACGACGACGACGACGGCGACGAAATAGGAAGGACAACGACGAAACGCCTAAGAAGACGACGAGGGAGGAAGGACGACCACGGCGACAACGACGACGGAAACGACGACGCCAAGACGACGACGACGAGGAAAGACAGAGGACGACGACGGCGACGACGACGACGACGAGGGAGGAGGGAGGACAGCGACGACGACGACGACGACAACGACGCAAGACCGCGCGCGCACGCTTTTGTTGAACATCCGTGTTGCGAAACTTTGTATTTTTGTATGTCTTTTGGACACGATTTTGAAATCCCTCCGAAACCGAAGGTTTTTGAAGGATTTCGGCATGCGCGCGCGACGACGCGCGCGTCTGCACTTCGTCCCATTTGTTGCAGAGGATTCTCGCGACGGCACGCGCGCAAGGGCGTTCGAAACATTTCGACATGCGCGCGTTAAACCCGTTTGGCAGCATGTTGTTGAACATCTTGGAAAACGGATGGTGTTCTTCAGATTTCGCAAGAGCGCGCGTGTAAGCTTAACTAGAACATCAGTGGTGCGAAGCCATGTGTTTTCGTATGTTTGTTGGAAACTCGATTTTGGAAAATCTCCGAAACCGAAGGTTCTTGAACGACTTCGGCATGCGCGCGAGACGACGCGCGCGTCTTGACTTCGTCCTAATTTTTGCAAGGGGTTATTGAAAACTTGTGACTCTTGATGAACGAGTGCGCGCATTGTATTTGTTGCAGAGGATGGCGGGGGGGTGATACCGGCCTGGCTGGGATAGTATGGATTCATATTTAGGATGGACGATGGGGCAGAATCATAAGTGAGTTGCAATACGAAAAGGTAGATCGTTAACTCCGGGGGGGGAGGGGGGGGAGAGTCTATTCTTCTCTTAGAACAGAGAGTCAACGTGGTGCAATCTACAGCCAACCCGCGTAGCAAGGATGGGCAACCCTCCTCAGAGTATCCTTGCATCCTTGCCTCCCTGGTCCACCCTTGGCCACCTTCCATCGGCAGCGCACCGCTCGACAAGCCTCGAAATGGCCCTCCAAGGTCCTTGCATCCTCATTGGTATCCTCTCGCGTGTCCTCTCCAATCAAGTCCGCTCGACGAGCCTCGAACTGGCCCTCCCAGGGTCCTTGCCTCCTCAATGTCCACCCTTCTGATACGGCGTGGTGCAGTCCGTGCGGTGCAGAGCAGCGCAGAGCAGCGCGGCGCGGTGCGATTGCAGGGAAGCGCGGCGGCCGACGGGCTGCGGCGGGCGGCCACGCGCCCGCCAGGCCGCCATAGGGGGGCTCGCTTACTCGGAGGGAGGAGAAGCGACACCAACACCAACAGGGGGCCACCTCCAGCGAGGAGGTCCACGAGGCCTCCCCGAGCTGGAGGCTGGGGATGTCTCGAGCGAGAGGGGGGGACCACACCACCAGGGAGACCCCCCTTGCCTCCTCGCATCTCCTCGCCCTGTTGGTGTTGGTGTCGCCTTTCCTTGTCCCTAGCTTACGGGCGGCGACGGGCGGCCACGAGCCAGCCGGACTGTCACAGGAGGCTCGGGCCGGACGAGAGGGGGGGGACCGGGAGAGGGGGGGGTTGCGAAATCTGCTGCAGGCAGCTGGATTCGGCCTCACCGAGGGGCCCATTCCTCGATACGTGGCCGCCTGCGGCGCCGGGAGGGGCCGGGAAAATCAGCTACGTGAGCTGATTCTCCAACCCCCCCCTTTGCTATCCCCCCCTTTCGCCCGACCCGAGAGGTCAGTTGCCAGCGGCGACGGCGGCGGCCAGGTGATCGTTTTCTGGTTCATTGCTTTGCCGATCGGCGCGGGCCCTCGCACCCCCCCTCCCCCCCCTCGTGGAGCAGATCCTGGCTGTTTTTGGCGCCTGTTTCAAGCAGGTGGAGTCTCCCGCATAGGACGCACTGTTGCAAACAGTCGCATTAAGCAGAGGTATGGAGCCAGACCGCCTCCGTCCCCCCCCATTCGCCCAATTTCGAAACGTCGAATAACAGAAATGTTGACCAGGCTGGCCAGACCGCCATCGGAGCTCAGTTACCTTATGAGGCAAGTGATTAAGAGTCCCACAGGGCAAGCACTATCTGGGGAATCGTAGAAGCCTTTTGATAACCACCGACGAGCATCGCGAGCGCCTATTGGGTGCCTTTGCATCTGAGGGCCTCGGGCCAGATTTGTTGTTCGTCCTGCGGATTTGGCCCTAACTTGAGCCTGTTGAAGCCTTCTCGGGCTTTCTCGTGGGCTCTTGGGGCTGCCTTGGGGGCTTGCACTTTTCGGGCTCGGTGGGGCGCCTCGCGGGGGCACCTTGGCGCAATCCCACGGCAGACAAGGCCATCGGTGGCAAAGAAGATGAATGATTACGAAGCCAAAGTGGTTCAGGCATGATATGCTTGTTTCGTCTTAGCCTTTCATCTCATGGGCCTTCCTGAGAGGCTCCAGCCTGGATACTGGGATGCCCTTGGATCATCCAGGGCCACCTTCGCCCTCTTGGAGCAGTCCTGGCGCCCCAGGGCAGACTGGATGACATCACTGGCCAAGTTAGGCGAATTATCTTGGGCCATGTTGGACAATCCAGGGTGCCCCCATTCGATACATTGCCTTGGGCCCAGTTTGGGCAACAGAGCGGCAGCATGAAAGACTTAGTACGGGCTTCTGGAGCGCATTCTGATCAGCCGCTGGTCTCTCCAGCAAGGCCCAAGCATCAAGCGAGCGTGCGCGCGTGAAGCTGTCAACAGCCGTGCGACAACATTGCTTGAACGACTGCTGAAGGAATCTCGATCCTGTAGTGTGGCAGTGCCCAGATGCGCTGCTGCTCGTGTCCGCCACCGCGTTGTGCGGGTGGTGTGGGGGGGGGCTCCTCTTCCTCCTCCTCCTCCTCCTCCTCCTCCTCCTCCTCCTCCTCCTCTTCCTCCTCCTCCTCCCGAGGAGCGCGAGCCCCAGCTAGCCGCGTTCTCGCGCGACTCACACGGCCAAGTTTTCTGGAGGAGCCTCTCAAACGCGCATGGTCGAGATCGACAGCGTCATTCCGACGCACTGCGACAAGACCGCACGGACCGCGGCGCCCACAGACCGTGTCTGTATCACCACGCCGCCAGCAGCGCTATTCGCCATGGACGTCACCCTCGCCTGCGAGAAAAGGCCCCGCCACCTTGGCCAAGGACCGACCTGTCCGACCACTTGATGCTCCTCTTTGCGATGAGGCCGCGCACGAGGGCCAAGAAGCAAGCGAGGATCATCCCCGACTACATCTTCAAGCATCCCGGCTTCGCCAAGCAGTACGAGCGGCTGCGTCAAGCGCCTTCCTTCGACATATACCCCGACGCCATAAAGTGGCAGCGCACGAAACAGCTGATGCGCCACGCTGCTGCGACGCCTCGGGACGTGCTCATGAGCGAGCCCTCTGCAGCCAGCTTTGCCACGCCGGGCGACGCATTACAATATTGATCGAGTGCGCTGAAGTCGTACGCCAGCGCAGCATTGACCCAGAATACACGACTCGCGAACACGCTCATACGCCACAGCCCCATCGGCAAGCAGCACCTCCAGACCAGCAACAGCGTGGTCCAGCTTGTCAACGACAACGCTTTCTACGAGCAGGCGCGAGACACCTTTGGCAAGTGCTTGGCATCGCTCGGACGTGTGCTTGTCTCTCGGCGAGGACCATCGAGGAGCACTGTGGATCACCTTACGAAAAAATACACGCGCGAAATCGAAAAATGCACAGGGCATGGACATCCGAGCGATGGCGAGAGTGGCATCGCCGACAGCTGGACTCTGCTCTGGGCGCAGGCCCCGCCTCTCTCGCTGCGGAGGCGCGGCGCTGGCTGGGGGGATCAAGCCAGGAGGGGAGAAAAAACACAGACACAATGAATCGTCGAGTCCCAGGAAGATATGGAAAAACATGGGAAGTGGGGGGGAAGACAAAAGGCAAGAAAATATGGGAAACGATGGGGAATCCTTTTATTTGTGTGTATTTATTTGTATGTCTCGAGGCCCCTTCAACAAGCTCGGGTCGCCGCTCTGGAAGGTGATGTCGCTGCAGGGCCGCCTCAAGGTCGCGATGGACGCGACGGCTCTCTCGGTCGACCGGGTGCCGGGTCCGGCGCGACGACCGCCGGGGGCCCCACGGAAACGATGCATGCGCTGCGCGCTCATTGGGCCCTCGTCTTCAGTGAGAAGCACGTTGAAAAACAAGCCCGTCGAGTTGTGTGACGAGAGCAGAACTCGAGGCCGCCCTCGTGACCTGCAGATTCCGACCGCGAGATGCCTGAGACGAGCTCTGCGCAGGCCCACCCTTACGACTGCGGGGCCCGATGAGCTGCCGTACGCGGCATGACGCCATACGCCGGGCGCCTTGGAGGTACTTGAGCCGTTCGTTCTCGACATGTGCAGCGGCACAGAGGCACCCAGAGGGCTGGACAGCTCGGAGTTCGCCTTCCTCCCAAAGAGCGATCTCCCGAACGACTCGGTTGAGGTCCTCCTGGGACCTGGCGCCACGAAGCCAATGACATTGAAAAGCGCGGACAGCAAGCTTACCACAAGCGCTGTGAACCACCGTATGCAAAGCGCCGCGCAGGAGGACTGCCACGGGAGCCCGCACGGCGTTGTAAAAAGCAGGCGCTTCGGTGAGAATCGATTGCGCCTGGACGCCGCCGCCCTCTACGCCTCGGCCTCGCCGACGGCTCTGGAGGACAAGCCGATCCGAATTTTCACGGCCAGCGTGGCTGCTCTCCCCCTGCCTGGGGCGGCAGTGGTTTCGGATGGTGGCGGGGCGCAGCGGGGCCTCCCTCGGCATCCGCAGCCTGTGGAAGGCGCCATGCGAAGACGCCCAGGCCCTCGTCGCGATGAGAGGGGCGAGGCAGCTGCTGTGCACTCTGCTGAGCGGCGTGGCCCAAGCTTGCCCCCTATCGGGCACCCCCTGGGCGTTGGCGTGCGACCCAGTGTTTCGTGCGCTCGTCAAGCTGATCGATGAGAAGGGGGAGGATGTTCTGGGCGGCTGCGCGGACGACGTCGGCGCGGCCCTCTTCCGCAGCACGACGCACGCCACGCTCGCGCCTGTTTTCGTCCGCGTCGCCGCGCTCGCGCGCCTGCAGCTCCAGTCCCCAGGATGTGCGACCGTCCCCTTGTGACGTAAGCTTGACGAGGAGCTCGTCGCCGATGTCAAGAGCGTGAGCTGGCAGATGGTGCCGCAGTGGGCTGCCTTTTGTCGTGGAGGCCTGCTCCAGGCACTTGGCGGCCCTGGGATGAGCCCGGCGGTCCGGTGGAACACCGCGCAGACCAAGTGGTGGAAGCGCACGCTGACGTTGGCAGGGGAGCCGTGCGGGCCGACGGAGTCGATTCATCTGTATCTTTCTGCCGCGCAATCCGTGCTGAGCCACCTCGTCCAAAATTTCTTGCCTCCCGAGGCGGCCCCGACACCAGAGCAGCTTGCCTTGCGTACCACAAGATCCTCAACATGCCGTCCAGCTCGTTCGCGCTACGGGAGCTCTTCTGGTTGCGGGGGGGCATGGTGCAACGGCTGGCTGCAACGGCCTATGCCGACCTCGATGGTTGCAACGGCCTGTTCGAGACTGTGGAGGTCCCAAGAGGTGACGCTGACGCGTTGGAAGGAACTCTACGACGAGATGGAGCGCAGGAGCGAGGACAACGTCCTGGTCGTGAGCGTCATCGCTCAGTCGTGGACCCCGAGCTGGCGGGAGGAGCCCACGGACACTGCACAGCGCTGCCATGCAGCCGCGCAGGGAGGCTCACGACACTGGGCCCGGCAACCAGCCGTGTGACCGACAGCGACACCAGGCACGCCGCGCAGCCGCGCGGCCGCAGGCCGCGCGCGGTCGAGAGGGCGGACGCGGCCCGAGGGGAAGGGACGAGCCCCGAGTTCCCAGGACGAGGAGGAGGAGGAGGACGAGGAGGAGAAGGAGGAGGCCACCCCCCCCGGCCCGGCAGCGGGATATGCGAGACGCCTTCCTCCTCCTCCTCCTCCTCCTCCTCCTCCTCCTCCTTCTCCTCCTCCCCCCTACTCCTCCTCCATCCTCCTCCTCCTCCTCCTCCTCCTCCTCCTCCTCCTCCTCCTCCTCCTCCTCCTCCATCCTCCTCCATCCTCCTCCTCCTCCTCATCCTCCTCATCCTCCTCCTCCTCATCCTCCTCCATCAGCCTTTTCCGGCATGATGCCCGAGTTTTTCCAGCGGCGCTTGAGCGCGCGGGGGCTTCCTGGCCCACGCGACCTCAGCGCGAGGTGGGCGCGCCTGGGCAGAGTGCGGCGTGGCGTGTGGCCGTCCTGGCGGTTGGCCGTGCTGAGGACGCTGAGCGGCGCATGGACGACGTCGTCACAGATGCACGGGGTGCCGGCTCCCAGTTGCGCGTGCTGCTTGGGGCGCGAGGGCGCCGACGATTGCATCGAGCATCACGTGCAGCGCGCTGCGCCATCATGCATTGGCTCGCGCGCCGCCCACGAGAGTTGCGCCGTCTTCCTCGCCGCTGGTCTTCTTGGGCTACATCGGCAGCACCTGCCACATCTACACCTGCGAGCAGGAGCTGTCAGAGAGACCTTGGCGGATCTTGCAGAAGTCCGTGAGATTCCTCGCGGGCGCGCATCGGCGCGCAGGCGCCACGAGGGAGAACATGGTGGTATAACGAACATGTGTGTGTGTGTTTCCGGGGGGGGGGAATGTCGGTGTGAAAGGGAGGGGGGGCAAGGGGGACGGGGGGGGCTGGAGAGGGAGAGTGTCCCACGACCTGCCTCCCCGGAGGGGTTACTGTGTTTGTAGCTTCGGCCGTCCTGCGGGAGGCAAGCAAATGCAGAGACGTCGAGCATCTGATGGGGGCAGGTTGTGCGCTCGATACGCCGTGTAAGCATAACTGCGCTTATCGGCCCGACACGCGCACCGACCGCTGCGGGGGCGCGGGGCCGGACAGTCATGATCGAGGTGCGCAAGGCTGCAGGCTTCCACGCCGTGTGTGAAGGCTTCCTGCCCGTCTGCACCTTCAGTGCGCCATCTCGCCCTTCGTAGGGAGACCAAGGCGTACCGATGCCGATGCTCCCTGGACCTCTGCTGGGGTGTCTTCCGACCAGACTTCCGACGGAATCCAGCAGTGGCGACGGCGGCCTCCCGGGAGGCCCCCACAAAAAGGGGAAGACGGGCGAAGAGTAGCGGTATGGGTAACTACTGCTTCCTCCTCCGATTCGACCTGTATCTTTTCTCTGCCCCTCTGTGACAGCAGGTGCGTCTGCCGCGCCGACCCTTGCCAGCCTCGAGCGTATCCCTATCCCTAAGACTGACACGCCAAGAGGCGATGACAATCTCAGGGATCCGCCCTCAAAAAATGAGGGAACCCCTAAGATTGGCATCGTGATGAGGAGGTGCCCAGCACAGGGATAGGGATATGTTCCAGGCTGGTAAGACCCCCCGCGTCGCCGCCGCCGCGCCAGTGCCGAGGGCCGCAGGGGGGCGCCGGGGGGGCCCCGCGCGCGAGCGGCGCCGCGCCCCTCCCCCCCGGCAGCGTCGGGCGCAGCGCGCTGCGGGCCGCAGCTGGCCGCTGCACGCGCCCGCCGCGGCCGCCGCCGCCGTCGTCAGCGTCGGCGTCGGAGTCGCCGTCGACGGCCTCGTCGTCGGAGTCGGCGCCGTCGAAGTCGGGACGGAGGCGTGCGAGAGAAGGGAGGTCGGATGGGGGGTGGGGCGTCTCGGGCTCCTCGATCTCTGGTGTCGCCGTCGCTCCTCGTCCCTCGCTCCCTCTCCTCCTGCCGCCTGCTCTCTCCTCCGATCCTCCGCCCGGGAGCCCCCGAGTGGGGCCCCAGCGCCGTTACCTGGGAGGACCCACCCCCAGCATTGAGGTTGTGGTCCAGGGTCCCGCCTCGGGCACCGCCCGGGCCAGGTCTCTCTGGGGCCTGGCCTGGCCGGCACTCTTGGCGCACATCGCGGAGCAGATGAATTTTGGGGAGCACGTAAAATTCTGTGTGGTGGCTGCGTTTCTTTTTATTTCATGAAGTGAGGAGGCGACAACTGCAAGCCAGGGCGGCCGGGCTGGAGGGAAGGAAGGACGGGTGGCAGGGGTGCGACGGGGGGCGGTCTTCGCGTCGTCGTCGTGGCGGTCGTGATGGTGGTGGTTGTTGCCATTATGATGGTGGTCGTGGTTGTGGTCGTTGCGGTCGTGGTCGTGGGCGCGTAGTCGAGGTGGTGGTTGTGAATGTGGTCGTGTATCTTCGTAGCGTGGTCGTTTCCTCCCTCCTTCCCGCCGTCCCTCCTTCTCGCCGTCCTTCCTCCTCCTCCTCCTCCTCCTCCTCCTCCTCCTCCTCCTCCTCCTCCTCCTCCTCCTCCTCCTCCTCCTCCTCCTCCTCCTCCTCCTCCTCCTCCTCCCCCTCCTCGGCCACCACCGCTCATCCTCTCTTACTCCTTCTCCTCCCCCTCCTCCTCCTCCTCCTCCCCCTCCCCCTCCTCCTCCTCCTCCTCCTCCTCCTCCTCCTCCCCCTCCTCTTCCTCCTCCTCCTCCTCCTACTCCTCCTCCTCCTCGCTCTCCTACCAATGGTAGTGGTGGTGAAAAATCGGCTCATCATGAGCATGGCCGGAACTGGTGAGGTGGCCAGTTCACGCCACCGAGGAGGAGGTCAGTCGGACTCGGCTGTCGGCGGGCGTTCCGCACTCTGCGGGGGGGAGGGAGGGGGGGAGTGGGGGGGCGGGCATGAGGGAGAGAAGGGGGGAAGAGGGAGGGAGGAGGGCAACGGGAGGGAACAACACTGCAGGAAAAACACTAGGCGTGGTGAGGAGGGGGAGGAGAGAGGGAGGAGAGTGGGGAGGGAGGGAGGGGGAGGGAGCAGGACGACGGCACAGACGGCGAGGGGGGGGGGGCGCGACCTTTGGGGCGCCGAGGGTGCCGCCAGGCAGGCGCCGCCCGCCGCCCGATGCCCTGCCTGAGCCCCGAGGTGGGCGGCTGGGCCCGCCCCCCGCCCCCCCCCCTCAGAGCAGGGGCCTGCCGCGTCGGGGCGCCTGCGCTGAGCACGGCACGACCCACCCCCACCCAGCCACGTGCAAAGGGGGGTCTGGGGGAGGGGGGGAGGCTTCTTAAAAGCACCCCTGCTTTTTAGAAGGCGCGGGCAATATTTATGAGCGTAGGGCCGGCGCCTTCTAAGAAGCAGCCTTGCTTTCAGAAGCCTTCCCAATTCCCCCTGCCCCCTTGTGCGCGCCGCCAACTCAAACCCGCCAGGAACCCGACCTGGTGAGCCAGGGGGTCCTGGGGACAGGGGTGTCGTTTTGGGGTACCGCTTCCACTCCAAGCCAGGACCCCCTGGATCACCAGGTCGAGAGTGGGGGTCCTAGCAGGGGTGGGGGTGAGTTGTGATGTGCTCAGCGCAGGCGCCTGGAATTCGGGTCGGACGAACGGGCGGCAGGACAGGACTCGAAGGGCAATTAGTGGCAGAAACCTAAACTTTCGGAGGTCCACGCGGACCTCCGAAAGTAGATGTTTATATCGCTATTAGTTATCAGTGTCCGAACCGGACGGGACAGGCGCTGACACCGCCAACAAGGGCGCCCCATGGTGGGAACGGCGGTGGCGCCGGAGCGCCGGGTACGGAGGGCGAAGCACTGGTCGGTGATCTTCTCGGACGAGGAGGGGGGGGATAGGGAAGGGGGGTTGGGTCGGAAGGCTTCGGGCTGCGCACAGATATCCCCCCAGGTCTTCCGCCAGCTTGCCTCAGCAGGCCCCCCGAGTAGTCCCAGCTGGCCTCACCAGGCCCCCGAGTAGCCTGGGACGGTTTGAACACCTCGGCGCCGCATCTGGCAGCTCCGCGCATCAGGGTTTAGGTGTTGAGACCGTCACGGACTACCCGGGAGACCTGTGGAGGCCAGTTGGGACTACTTTGGAGACCTGTTGAGGCCAGCCCGGATAACCTTGTAGGACTGTCTGCATGCAGACCGAAGCCCTACCATGGGGGGGTACACATTTTGCCGAAGACAGTTGGTTCCGGCCTCGCCGCCGGTCGCCCTTCTCGATACATTGGCCTATGGCGCCAGGAGGCGTCGGGAAAACCAGCTACGCCAACCCTGGGGGGGTAGCTGGGTGTTAGCGCGGCGGGCCAACACCCAGCTGACACCCCCGCGAACATCCCGCTAACAGTGTTGGCGGGCCGCGCTAGCACTCCGCGAGCATTGTTTGCGCGGCGCGTCAATATCCCGCGAGCATGTTCGAGAGAGTGCTCGTTCGGTGCTAGTTCGTGCTCGTTCTGTTAGCGCACCGCGCTATCATGACGAGGCCGTCGGTGGAGCTCCCATGGGGCTACGAAGCATGTGGTGCCCGAGTGGACCAAGGCGGCACGCGACCGCAGCCATTGGGGCCTTGGATAGAGCTCCCTACGGGGCCGCGAAACGTGTGAGAGGTGTGCCGAAATTGGCCCGAGAAGGAGGAGAGAGGAGGGCCGGATATGCCCAAAACAGATGTTTGGAAGTTATGCCTTCAAGGTGGTGCATCCAGCGCAAGCGCTTCGATCACGAAAACGGCTGGAGGCAGTATGTCAAGTTAGCCAGCGCAATCGCTTGCACACAAGATTTCATCTGTTGCACCCAGCGCAAGCGCTTCGATAACGATACTTGCGAGGGGCACGTGACGAAAATGGCTATGGAGAGTTCGGTGGAAGTTGATGTTCCCGATTCGCAGATATGTTAAAGTTACGCTAATCAGCTTTGCAGCTTTCTGTCGTGATTAACTTGATTAGCTGTCATGGCATTTTTCCCTACCTAGGCTCTGCCTAGAAGGGTTCTTACTCGGTTTGCTGAAAGGGCCGGGCAGTGCGCCCCGGGCGGTTCCCACGGTTGCGTTCCCTGGGTGCTCAGCAAATGCAAAAGCAAAGACAAAAGTGAAGGCAAAAGCAAAGGCGAAGCAAAAGCATAGCAAAGCATAGCATAGCATAGCACAGCGCAGCATAGCATAGCATAGCATATCATAGCATAGCGCAGCACAGCATCCACTCTTGCTGCTGCTGCTATATATATACACACTTATATGTGTGTGTGCGCACGTATGTTTCATGCATGTTGTCCGTCTGTGGGCCATCTTGAGCCCTTAGTGGGGCAGCTTGAGCCCTTAGGATTCACGAAGGTTTCGCACATAGCACTGGCTGGGAGACATGGATCCCGACATATTATCGCATGTCCTAAATGTCTTTCTCTATATACAATTATATGTGTGCATATATACATAACACCCATGTGGAATGCTGCATGTGTGTGTGCGAATGCAAAAACATGCGTGTGTGTGTCTGTGCGCAGGCAAAGCAAAAGCAAAACCAAGCAAACGCAAAAACAAAGCCAATCGAAAACAACAACAACAACAACAACAACAGCATCAACAGCAAAAGCAAAGGCAAAGGCAAAAGCAAAGGCAAGAGCAAAAGCAAAGGCAATGCAAAGCAAAAGCAAAACCAATGCGAAAGTGTAGATGTAGATGTAGGTGCAGGTGTAGATGTGGATGTAGGTGTAGATGTATATGTAGATGTAGATGTAGATGTAGATGTAGGTGTGGATGTAGATGTAGATGCGAGTCTCGCTGTTGATGTAGATGTAGCTGTATATGCCAGTGTAGATGTAGATGTAGCTGTAGGTGTAGATGTAGATGTAGATCTAGATGTAGATGTAGGCGTCGAT